TATACGATCGGCTGGCTATAGAGCTGCCGATCGGGTATATGTAAAACAGCCGGTAAAGGCTCTCTGCAGTGTACGGGCTTTTCCTGCCCGTGCGCGCACGCAGAAAAGAAATGTCTGGAGACTGCAACCTGCTAATGCAGCTGTGCCGTCCGTCCTTTTTTTTTTTCAACGGGCGGATGGCAACTGGTTAAACACTGTATTTTTTATTTATGTATTTTTTGAACCAGGAGCACAAAGGGGTTATTATTTTTTTTTAAACAGGGGCTTCGATACTTAGCATTTCTGAAGAGAATACAATTTACTGGTTTGTAACACACAGGCGGTTCGCAGCTGCACAACACAGTGAGATGCTGCCGGTGTTCTGTCAAAAGCTCCAACTTGTCCAGATCTCCAACTGGTGATGTGATGTCTAGTGACTTGTTAGTAGGAGATTGAGACCAGATGGCGCTATTGCGCCAGCCGTGGCAGTGTAATAATCCTTGTCAAACTCTCGATTTTCCCCTCACTTCGCCTGCGAGGCTTTACAATCCTTGTCCAGTCCCCCAACCCCCGAGTTGGAGGACTCAGCGGGGATTGTGAAGCCGTATAGGCGCAGTGAGGGGAGTTTGATAATTTGACATGGATTCTTACACTGCCGGCGCATGCGCAATAGTGCCCTCTGGTCTCAAACTCCTACTGGCAAGCCACCGGATGTGACATCACCAGTTGGAGATCTTTCAACAAAACACCGGCTTTGTGGCTGTCACAGCTCTGTGATCCCAGCAATCGGCTATCACTGTGACCACCTAATCTGCTGTTAAGGGTCTGCCTCGGCCCCCGAGGGACCCATCAACAGTAACTCAATGAGCGCTGGTCCTTCCACAGACCAGCACTCATTGTAGCACATGACGGGATTATCCCATCTCCGGTCGCCTGAACGATCGTCGTCAGTCGGGAAGGGGTTAATTAGTGTGTTTTACATATTGGTTTGGGATTCAGCTTTACAATTATTTCTATTACATATACACACAAAAATGACAAATGTCAATGGATTGTTTCTCCAGAATTTCTGTATAAAACTGTTGTCTGTTTAAAAGTATCATCTATCTGTCACTGGGTGCTGTAGTGACATGCCATTTGGGCTGTGTACATGCACGTTCAGTAGGCAGATCCCTTTTTGTTGACACTGAAATGAAAGTGCTCTCTACCAGTTTGCAATAGCTATACAAAAGGAGTGGTTCTAGTTTATTTTTGTTTTCTTGTGGAGTAGCGAAGCAACAGTATTTTTGTCTTCTGACACTATTTGATTTTGTTTCTGTCGGCAGGGAATAGTGAATGAAGTCAGACAATCTTCACAGCTCATGTTGAATCAGCTTCTGCAGCAGCTCCGCAGTAACATTCAGCTTCCGGTCTGTTTGCGTGTGATTGGCTACCTTCGCAGGATGGATGTCTTCACCGAGGCAGAGTTGCGTATCAAGTTCCTCCAGGCCCGGGATGCTTGGCTACGATCTATGCAGAGCTCCATCCCTCAGGATGACCCATATTTCCACCTGACTAAAACCATTGAGAGCTGTCGTGTCCACTTGTTTGATGTCATCACACAGTATAGGGCTATATTCTCTGATGAAGATCCTCTCCTGTTACCACCTCCACCCAGCGGCCTTTTGCCTGTGAATGAGTCTGCCATATTTCATGGTTGGGTGCTCCAGAAGATTAGCGAGTTTCTACAAGTGCTGGAATGTGACCTCCAGAAGGGTGTAGGAAGCCGACTGGATTCTCTTTTGGGTCAGTGCATGTACTTTGGACTGTCTTTCAGCCGCGTTGGTGCAGATTTTCGTGGTCAGCTAGCACCTATCTTTCAGCGTGTTGCTGCTGAGACTTTTGCACGAGCTGCCAAGGAAGCTGTGGAGAAGTTCCAGGAGGAGATGAACATGTATACACTGATCTCCAACCCCATGGTAATGGGCACCAGTATCCCACCAGTCTCGACACCACCTGCCCAGCCTGGAACCTTGCAGCCTCCCATGGTACTCCTGGACTTCCCTCCACTAGCCTGCTTTCTTAACAACATTCTGGTGGCCTTTAATGACTTGCGCCTTTGCTGTCCAGTATCAGTAACTCAGGAGGTGACAAACATATTACAGGATTCTTTAGAAAAGGTAATTTGTGTGCTGTCCCTAGTATTTGAGCTAAAGATGTAAATAACTTGCATGAAGCAATTGACCTCTAAGTTGAAACAACGTTCATGGCATAAACTGCATACCTCAAACTAGGGATGCACCGATACTAGTATCGATATCGCTGTTGATACCGAGTATTTGGGCGAGTACCCGTACTCACCCAAATGCTTCGATGCCTAGCCCGATACTTCCTGTATCAGGAAGCCGGGCAGCACGTCATTACACGCTGCCCAGTTTCCTGATTGGCGGGGAAGCGGCTAGATGCTCTCTTGTCACGCGAGAGCATGGAGCCGACATCCCGGACAATCAGGAAGCCGGGCGCCGTGTAATGACACAGCGCCCGGCATTCTGATTGGCCGGGAAGCCAGCTTCATGCTCCCTCGCCATCTCATGACAAAGGAGCATGGAGTTGGCCTCCCGGCCAATCAGAAAGCAGGGCGCCGCGTCATTACATGGCGCCCGGCTTCCATGATTGGCCAGCAAGCCGGCTCCAGCTGGATACCGGAGGAAGGCCGCTCCTGGCTGGAGAAGCCCGGGGGTGACAGGCGGGACATGCCAAGGTGAGAGGGGACAGAGATTCGCAGTATACAGCCGAGCACTTGTAATAGGGAATATGCTGTAATATCCCTTCTTCCTTTTTTGTTTCTTTTGGCTGTGATGCTTGAACCCTAACTCCCCGTTAAGATTGGGAGTGAAACCAGGGTTCCGTCTGAGTAGCCTCCGCAGTTGCGATCCACAAACGCCGAAACTACCCCAGGTGTTACAGCACTGTAGAGACATGCTGGATCATATGATTATTATGGGGATTCGTATGGGACGGCTTTCTTGATAATCGTGAAGCCGGGTGGCGAGTCTTTACACGCTTCCCGGCTAATCGGGAAGCCAGGTGGCTAGTCATTACACACCACCTGGCTTCCTGAATTGGACTTCCGGTACTCGATAATTGGTATCGGTACCAAAATACCGGTATCGGTCTATCCCTACCTCAAACATTAGACTGTCTGTAGGGCAAGAGAGATGGTCTTAAGGGCTTTTCGTGTATAAGTGTTCAGTAAAGGGAATATAAAGTGGTTTTGTACATATTTTCTTTTATTTGTAAAATGTTAAAGCACAACTGTATCCTCCTCAAAAAATAGTTAAACTAACAAATACTAGCTTTGACTCAACAGGAAGTCACATAGATAGCAGTGGTCATTTAGTTCTGGAGCTGACAGGCAGAATGCAAATGGGAGGGAAGAGAGGGAATGAGTCGGTAGAGGAGACATGAGGGTGCTTGAAGCGTCCTCTTATCTACTTTTCAGCTCCAATAGGAACCATGGAGAAGAAAAGTAGCCACCCTCTGGCAAGAAGTTATGTGACCTGACAAATTGTTTTTAGCAGCATTTAAAGGGACACAATTAAAAACTGAGCTAGCTCATTAATAAAATTAAGATCTACAATATAATCATTTTATAATTTATGGGTTTAGTTTTGTTTTAAAGCCTCCGGTTTTTTTTGGTTTTTTTTTTTGCAAACATCTACTGCTAGCAAGCAGTAGATATGGAAAAAGTTTTGTTTTTTTAAAACGCTTTAACAGCGGTTTAAACTTACCCCGTCTTCGCAGCGCGCTCCCGTCAGAAAATCCAAAACTGCTCCGGCGGCCGCAAAGCATCTTGGGGCGGGCACATGCGCAGTTCTGATTTTCGGCCCAGGAGACGAGGAGAGACACAAGGTAAGTATATGGACGTGTGCACCCGCATGCAGACACCGTGGGCAGGAAGTGCCAGCAAAGACAGAGGAGTTACGCTGGATCGGAGAGCTGCCGCACCGCTGGAGGGACAGATAAAAACATCAGGAAAGAAGATCGAATAAAGAGACATCATTTAAGTGCTGACATTAACAATGGTGGGAGGGAAAACATTTTTTGACTTTATCCTCTTTGGCGGTATTCTCGAGTGTGGCTCAGGTCGGGGTTCATTTTCAGTACTAGAGCTGCAACAGTTAATCGATTTAGTCGATTAAAATCGACGATTGAAAACGTTACCAACGTTTTCGATCGTCGATTCGTCGGCTATCGATTGATTTCCCTGTTCGGGGCTCTACACGCGGCCTGAAGCACACGCTGCTCACGTCCCGCCGTGCCCACAGGACGCATAAGCCACGCCCACCGCACGCTGCTCCCGCCGACCACTCGCGCAGCTGGGCGGATCCCGACATAATTGTCTGAGACGCTGTGGCTTCTCAGTATACCGCGAGCTGTAGCTCGCGGTATACTGACCTTAGGTTGACCTCCCGTTACCCTAAGGAGATCTATGGGGAAAAGCCTCAGCCCCATAGTTCTCTTAAGTAAGGTGTCTTTTTTTTCTTTTTAATTTTATGGTTCTGATGAGGTGATGACCAACATTCTTTGACTTCTGTCTTCTCCACAGGTTGTGAAAACCATCCGGTCATTCCATCGAGCTGAGGAAGCCGCTTTCAGCCCTCAGGAAAGTGAATTGTTTATTCAGTTCTGCACAGTTTTCTTAGAGGACCTGACGCCATATCTGAACCGCTGTTTACAGGTTCTTTTCCCTCCGGCTCAGAGGGCTCAGATTTTAGGTACAAATATCTCTGTCTGTTTGGGAAATACCAGGGATCTCTTATTGACGACCTATAAAACTATAGGTTAGGCTGAAGGAAAGAAAATTAAAATAGTGAAAAACAAATGTAACACTGTAACTCAGCACTCAATGAGAGACAGCGATTAGGATTGTTCTGGCAAAGTATATAATCGTGTATTATTATGATAGTATATAATCATAAGGTAAATGATAGTAAAAGGTTGTATAAAATAAGTAAGTCAAAGGCAGTCCTTCTGTGACTATGTAGATATATATTTGCTGTGAAATGCTAATGGTAAAAAAGGAAATACCGGTATGTGCAGTGGCATTATTGCAGCTAATTGTAGCCAAGGATCAAAAAAGTTTCCTGTGCTCCTCGGCTACATCTAGTGGCCATAAAGCAGTGTGGATATAAAAGTCAAATGTACGCAGAGTGAACATTTTACAAATACACCCTATAAAGAAAAAACTGAAAAAAAAAAAAACCTATTTAGTTTGTTCAGATAAGAAATATGCTTTGCCTCTTTGTGTGGTTAATCCACATGCGGCTGACTTGTTTTGGAAGATGCAAGCTCAGTTCTTTTATCCTTACCGCATGAGTTACTGACCCTGAACAAATCTGCCACCAGTAATCGAGTCTACAATACCAGCTCCTTTATCTTTCTTGACCGGTGCCTCTTAAGTCTTTCAGAGGGCTTTGTATTGTATTATATGGCCTTGGCTTTCATTAGGGATGCACCGATACTAGTATCGGTGCTGAGACCTAGTATTTGGGCGAGTACTCGTAGCCGGCGCCATGCTCCCTTGTCACCTAATGTCGAGTGAGAAGGGAGCCGACTTTCTGGCCAATCAGAAAGCCGGGCGCCACGTCATTACACGCTGCCTGGCTTCCTGATTGGCCAGAGAGCCGGCTCCATGCTTTCTCGTCACCTAATGACGAGAAGCATGGGTGTGCTTCCCTGCTAAACGGGAAGCCGGGTGGCAAGTCTTTACACGCCGCCCGGCTTCCCAGCTCATCGGGAAGCCAGGCGGCGAGTCATTACACGCCGCCTGGCTTCTTTAATGGACATTCGGTATTCGGTATCAGCGAGTACCGGAAAAAGAATATCTGTACTTGTCCTCCATACCGATATCGGTGCATCCCTATCTTTTATGTAACCTGAAAAAGACTGCTAGACAAAAAAAAGCCATAATAAATGGTTGCTTCCTTGTTTGAATGCATTGTTTGCTGCCCAAAATGAATGTTGCTCATCAGATTCCCAGCTATAGCTCCCGAGGCCTTCTATCACAAGCCTTTCCCTGACATCAGGCTCAAGCTTGCTATAACCAGACTGTCAGAATCGGAACATGGACATGTTAGAATGTATCTGGGCAAGTTGCTGTGTGTTTATTAATGAGCATTCTATATGTCTTTCCAGGTGTGCCCGCTACACAGCTTTCTCGTTATGGCAACTTGGGCTCTATCAATGTCCATGTTCTGCAGGAAGCCTTGGAGGGACTATTACCGCACAAGGAGCCTGTACTTGTGGTAGATAGAGAACCAGTGACCACACTGCCAACTGACTATGAACCGGAGAAAGCTCTTACACTCACTGAGAGTGTAGAAGTACCCGAAAAAGACAATGAACAGATACCTTCTGCTCTTACAGAGACAGCTATGCCTGCAGGAGATGACCAGTGATTGGTATAATAGGAACATAATGATGACAGGTGGGATGTGTCTGATACTCTGAGAAAAGACACTCCAGCTAAAACTGGTATACTGGGTTGATAGTGGTCTGCTGAATCACCCTTTGAATTTCTTTCTCTGTGACTCCAGCAATCCGATCTCCCTGTTGGGGTCTCTGGCACTGCTCCACCATAAAAAATGTCTTACCAGGGAGCTTACCACTAGAGTTCTGGAGACTTAGGAAAATTGTGGGTCTTTCAGCCAGATTTATGCAGAGCGGCAATATCAGTTTCACATGAGAGGATAATACATGTGGATCCGTGAGATGGTGATTGCGTATTTATACAGAGGTGTTTACATTCCAGTACAGAGGAAAATCAGTGTGTATTCTGAGTGGTTTACTAATTTTCACTTCCCTATATAATTATTATTTAATTATCATGCATCACTTTAACAGAATCAAATGGCTCTGGATCAATAGTTGGCATTTGCTCAGTTTATTTTTCAGTCCCTGTCGTTATTTATTCATACTGACTAGAACCCCATTGCACGGTACATAAGGTGCAGTGCACCACATGAGCACCCTTAACACGATAACAAAAAATACTGAGGGCAATTTATCAAAACTGGAGAAAACAGAATCTGGAGCAGCTACCCATTGCAACCAATCCGCTTCTATCTTTCATTTGAAAAGCCTAACTGAACAAATGGAAGAGAGAAGCTGATTGGTTGCCATGGGCAACTGCTCCAGATTCTGTCTGCTCCAATTTTGCTAAATCCCCTCAACTGTATGTTTAATGTCTGCACCCTTAACACGATGCACGATAACAACAAAATACTTTGAGGGGAATTTAACAAAACTGGAGCACCCAAATCTGGAGCTGTTGCCCATGGCAACCAATCAGCTTATCTCTTCAGTTTAGATTTGAAAATCAAAGAGAGAATCTGATTGGTTGCTGTACACAGCTGCTCCAGTTTTGATAAATTCCCCACTGTATGTTAACGTTTGTGCTGTGAAAAATGCAGGTGTGAAGGGGCCCTAATGGAAACCTGTGCTGAGAGAATATGTAGGCTACCATAACTGACCCCGGTTTCTGAAAATACTAGATGTGTAACTGTTACTGATCCTAAACGCGTATGGCTATCCCACTTTATGCAGGACTGTTCTTGGCTAGTACGTCCAGGAGGATTGTTGTGCGCATACTTCTATCAGTACAAGTTTCCTTTAACAAGACCTGGTCATTGACCAGCCGCTTACCCTTGAGTGGAGTCTGACCTGTGGGGCATATACTGCAATTTCAGCTTTCTAATGGTTATTCTTGTACCTTTCTCCAAAAATACTTTATCTCTCATACACTGAACATGTACAAATTGTAATAAAATGATTCTGTTCTTGTTATTTTAGCCTAAAGCATATGTCAAGGCGAAAAGAATACTATTTAGAACATTTCTGGAATACATGCCCATTTTCCCATGCTTAAACCCTTTAAGCCAGGGTTCTCAAACCTCCGACCCTCCAGCTGTGGTGAAACTACAAATCCCATGATGCATCTCTTCGGGAGTCGTGGCTGTGAGAATCTTGCAATGCCTCATGGGATTTGTAGCTCAACCACAGCTGGAGGGCTGGAGGTTTGAGACCCCCTGCTTTTAAGCACACTGCCTGTACAGAAAAATAACTATGCCAGAAATATAGTACATTCCTACCTTCCTCTTTGACATGAAACATGGCACTGAATAACTAAGCATAATGGATTGCAAAAACCACAGACCTGCCCTCCTCTCTATAATAAAACAGCCTATCTCAATTATATGCCTTTTGGCATCCTTATGGGTTCCTTGTAATTTCTGCACAGCGCTATCCAATTCCATGGTCAGGCAGGCCACCAGCACTGTGGAAATGAATAGGGCTAATCCAAGGTGGGTCGGATCCATTCAGGAAAGGATGACAGTTCACCTAAATCCAGGCCAGTTTCGCCTCCTGCCCTCTTCCATGCTGTGGCTGGTCATTGATGTGTTGGTAAGACTTTGATGGGTGTGGGGGTCTTCTGATGTGAAGTGGGGCTACTAATAGAAAAGGGAGGATTCTGTTGCGAAAGGGGGGAATCCCCATGGGGGTTATTTTTGCATGGGGTCATGCCTTAAAAATTTTTTACCAGACCCCTGTAATTGTGAGGTATGGATTTTGGAAACATTTACGTTATTTACATATGTGTACACAGGCAGAGAGCACAGGAAGTTATCAACTTGCATGATTTATGCCAAAATTAACTGGTATTTTTTGCACTTATCGAACAGATACAGACTTGGACAAATTTGTTGGGGGTTCTTTATTGTATGTGCACAACAATTTTCTCTGAAATAAATTGAAACTAACAATAGTAATTTGCATCCATCAGTGTTCCATTAAAAAAAAAGTCAGACATTGCTTTTGATTTAACAGAATATTTTGCATAATAAAACCAACATTATTCCTTTGAGCCCACTGTCGTTCAATCACTGGTACAGTCAGACACTGATGCACCTTGACCTTAGATTTCAGCATGTATCTTTCCCATGGACCTTAAAGGAGAACTATGAGGTGAGTGCTTTTCACTCGCCTCATAGTTCTAAGCCGACCTGTGACAATGAGACTGTCACAGGTCGGCTCAATAGATCGGGAGGTGAGGGAACACATACCGGGTTCCCTCACCTCTCGATACTTAATATTTGTAAATGTAGCCACAGGAAAATCCAGCTGCTTGGAGCTGGTCTTATAGCCTTTACCTTTCTCATGCTGGTCTATTATTTTCTTTGATTCCCTCAGACAACTCTCTCCTTTGCTTGCTTTGGTCCAGGTTCAGTGTGGTGCACACGATGATACCTTATAGTCACAGAGTGACTATTTTCCTTGATCTAAATTAGAGGTGCACCGAAATCAAAATGTTAAAACCGAAATTAACAAAAAAAATGTCAGGCCGAAACCGATACCGAAAATGTTTTTTATTTTTTTTAAATATTTTATAAACTTAAATTTTTTTATATTTATTTAATTTATTAAATATTTTTTATTTACTTTTAGGGGCTTCGGGGAAATATTGAGGGTCTAAACAGACCCCTGATATTTCCCTTTTAAAATAGAGAAAGAGATTGAGAACACAGAGTCCTCAATCTCTTTTTCTGTGTCACCTGTTATCAATGAACAGGAATCCTCTGAGTGTTCCTGTTCATTGATAACATGAGAACATTGTTTACTATAACTACAACTATGAATGAATGGGGGTGATGTAGATCACTCCCATTCATTCATTCATATTTGAGGATATAGTAAACATACCATGTCCTCAATTATGTACAAACACTCAGCGATCACTGATAGCTGAGTGTTTTGTACCCGCTCTCCTCTCTGACACGCTGTCACAGGAGGCTGATCGAGCGGTGTAGAGAGGAAAGCCCAGCCTCCTGTGACAGCGCTGTCTCTGCCCCCACACCGCTCTGCCGGACTGTGATAGGCGGCAGAGCGGTGTGGGAGGAGAGACGCCGGCCGCTCACAGCGCTCTCGTCCTGCAGAGCTTGGCCGGCTTTCACTTTCTTTTCTCCCCGCTGGAACACAGAGCAGCGTCCAGCGGGGAGAAAAGAAACCAGGGATGTGCCGATGTATTGGCCGAAACATGGCTCTTTCGGCATTATGCCAAAAGTGCCATTTTGGCACAATCCTTGCTCTTTGACATACCAAAGGCATGCATGTATACAAAAGATAACAATTATAATTTCATTACTCTTCTGGAGGAGTGAAGTATTCCTTCAATGACCTGTAAGGGGACCAATAAATTTGTCCACGATTGTATAACAAAACACTTTTGATGGTATATTTAGCACATAAAAGAAGGTCATTGTTATGTTTTACATACACTTTAATCAATACAATTAAATCCTAACAAATCTGTGCAAATGAACTGGATTGAATCCGCACTATCTTCTAATATGTTTCCTAAATCTGATGTTGGCAATGTCATAGCTACATGTATGGATATCCACAAGACCCTTGATTCACAATATATTATTGCAGAGAACGCTTTTTTTTTTTTTTTGGAGGACACAGCAGGGGCAGATGTCACATTGTGTGATTTATAATCTTCTGATGGAGATTCATCCTGCCTCACTGCCTGAGGAACTCCTGCTAAAATGACCTCATTTGCCAATGCACCCATCTGACCATCGGGATCGAAGAAGAAATGTGCCTAGAAGACTCAGGCATCGAGAGGCTGAGAGACGATTGGAGGACATTGCAGACAGGGCTTTCTGCCAAATCTTGACCAGTTTGTCCTCTGGTAGGGATATGGTGTTAAAAGTGTCCAGATGGGCTCCTAAAAAGACAATTTCACGGGAGGAAGTCAGGTGAGATTACATAGATTATCAAACCAAAATGCTGAAGAGTTGCCAAGAGAATGTCCTGTCTTGAGCAATAAGGAGAATGTCGTCCAAGTAATGATTCACCCCGAGACCTTGCTCTCTCAGAAGAGTGATAATCTTCATGAATGTGCTGGGTGCGGTGGAGATGCCAATAGAGAGACCGCAAAATTGAAAGCGATGGTTCAGAAAGAAGAACCAAAGGTACTTTTGGAATCGATGCTGAATGGGAACAGGCGGGTATGCGTCTGATAAATCGACCGACATCCAATCTCCCTGCCTGATGGTTAGTAGTGATGGGCCGAACAGGCCCTAGTTCGGTTTGAATTCGAACTTTAGAACATCCAAAAAGTTTGAACTCGAACTTAATGCAAGTCTATAGGGGTAGAACTTTTTTTTTTAAAAAGTATTTATTTTAAAGCGTGCAGTTCCCCCTCCCAAACAATACCAGACCCATTTAGGTCTGGTAGGAATGTTAGGAGGGACCCCATTAAAAAACAAAAAGCGTTGGGTTCCCACAAAGGTCTGGTAGGAATTTTGGGAGGGACCCCATGTAAAAAACAAAAAAGTGTGGGGTTCCCTCTTAAAGTCATACCAGGCCCCTAAGGTCTGGTAGGAATTTTAAGGAGGAACCCTACCCCCAAAAATGGGGCACCCAGATGCAGCCGCCCCTTGTGAATGAGTAAGGGGTACTTGTACCCCTACCCATTC